GAGCAACAACGGTGGTTCTCCTTCGAGAGCTTCAAAAAACTTTGGGGATTGGCTTCAATAAACCAAGAGGAGTCTGGTGGACTGTACATCCTCCACTCACATTTAAATCACTCTTGTGATCCAAACGTTTCTGTAAGTACTGACTTTTATTTATCGCCGCTTACCACACACCGTGTCAGTGTCGCAATTTACCCCGAACATTCGTCCCTCCTACTACTCTACCCACAGAGTTACCTGGCCGCAATCCTCCTGGTGTACGGGGTACAAATAAACTCACCCTTCTCGCTCGGCGAAACATACACCCAGGAGACGAACTCACTATTTCTTATGTCGACACTGCGTCACCTAGAACTCAAAGGAGAAGCGAGCTGCGTGAGAGTTACGGTTTTTGGTGTACTTGTCCCCGCTGTCAAAAGGAGAAAGACACGGAAGATGTTACAGTTGCACAAAAGCCAGCAAGCCATGCAACTGGGCAGAGTGAGTCGGATAGTTAGGCTGGTCACGGCGGATGTACAAGGGCAATTTGTACGATCTGGACAGTCTCATGAGCAAGTTGCATCCATAGTGGTTTTCGATGTAGGGTATCGATGCATAGCATATTTGTTTCTCTAAATCTTGTTGAGATGCCGAATACAATCTCTTCTATCTGATCTTTTCGTCTATTTCGGCGTCGGCAACAGTCTTGATGAATTGCAGTTGATTGGCCACGTCCTGAAGTACGCCGAGGACTTGGAGGTTGCTATGCGTCAACGGCTGAGATGCCTATACGAACTCACACATCAACGAAGCCATACTCGCGATAAGCAATGTCATTTTCTTGACAATACTCCTTGACCAACAAGCTCGCTTTTCGTAAATTGTGTCTAGGCAGACGAGGAAACAGATGATGAGTCACCTGCAGGTGCAGTCCCCCGTGTAGGAATTCGACTTCGGGTGAGCACACAACGTCCATTGTGGTCCGTAGCTGTCGTGATGGGAATGACTCGATTGGACCAAGATCGTCTGTTGAGCAAGCAAAATGAGAAAGTACAATCTGGCATTAGCAAGAGAAGCCTCTTGACGCCTCACCTGAACGTGGACCGGCGACGAGACGATATGGCTGACGAGTAGATAGGCGACCCGCATAGGCCACGTTGGTTGGGAATAAAGAATGCCGCCAAAGTACATCCAGTAAAAGGTCAAGCCAGCCAGCTCGAAGCGCCAGAATGCGTTGTGCTTGGGTTTAGGGCCGAAGAGATAAGCGTAAGAGTTGGCGTAGAGGTTGAAACGTGCCAAAGAGAGGACGATATAATACAGTTTATGCCTGCGATGAGCCAGGTCAGATTATCGTTGCTCACTGTACAGAGATTAGGGCCCGAGAGAAAACATCAAACGCCATGACACGCTTGTAGTATGTGGACCATAGACTGCCGAAGAACTGTTTCGAGATCGCAAAGAAGGGAACGTGTTGGATATCTGGATCGTGTTCGGGGTGGTTTGTGACGAGATGATGGACATTGTGATTCTGGAATATCAGTCTATCTTTCTCTATGCGACTCACGTCACACCACCAGCCAAGACTCAATCCGCCAATCCAATCAGCCACGACCATGCCGATCACCCTATCCCACCACCAATCTCCAGTGACACCAGTATGGCCTGCATCGTGTGCAAGGACTGAGATCAGCCATGTCGTGGTGCAGATACCCACAGGTTAGTTGATGGAAAAACATGCCGAGAAACGCAGCTGATGCCATTTGACCGAGCCAGCCGTTTGTCCTACACGGCTTCAGTTGCAATGACGCCAGTGCACTCACAGGAAAAACAGAGAAAACGCAGTTGCGCCTAGAAGAGTGTATCGAATCAGATCAGTACCGTAACCCGATAAAGGGCCTGGTCGATTGAATAGTCCTGCAGCCACTACTCTGGCTTTGAGTTCCTGATATGCACGACTCCTCTGTTTCTCCTTGCCTTTATCCAAGTCTGAAGGTAAAGGTTCCAATTGCGCGGGCAAAAGCTTGATCACCTCGGGTGTAGTCGAAGCAGGCTGTTGCGTACTTGGAGGGAGGATTGAAGCTGCCAATCTAACTGATCCTTCTCTAGCCCAATGGCCTTTAACACCGTCAGGGTGTCGCACCAGGCCTAGTGCGATTGGTGGAGTCAAAGCGCTCCAGCCTTCTACACCGTCCAATTCAACGCGACCAACTACAAACTTTTTCATTCGTTCTAGCGTCGCTGAGCAGTGATACGCCTCTATCTCATCAGTCGCATCGCGACCAACAAAGTGTAGGAGGGCCAGTGTACCGCCGGGATGAAAAGCAGCCCATGCCGTCGCGTTGATGACAGTGGAGCGGTAGACGATAAGGAGAGCGCCGTGACAGATGCGGAGCGCGACTTCGGACCGAGACAGGATAGGGGGACCACCTTTTGCCGGCATGGTGAGGAAGTTTGAGGAGGCTGCAGCCATTGTTGGCGAATAGCTGACGCGTAGAAACAGACAAATAGGTAGATGTAGAGGGGACAAAATGTGGGAAAACAGGACGAAAGGACCGAAAATTAAGTGTAAGTATATAAGTTTCTGCACTCTCAGCTAAAACATGACGAAAAATAGACACTGATGGTGTATCGGTAACATTACTGCCTTCCACATTACGTAATCATGTTTGTCCACGTGGCAAGCACGTATCAGTGAGCAGTAGCACGGGGTTCGACTCCCCGTCAGTGTATATAATTTTTTTTGATTCACTTTCTGTACAGACGTATTCGTCTTCCACGTATTCGTCTTCCATGTGAAAACCCATTGAGCTTATTGCCATACCTTGCGGGCGAATCGCTGAATCAGCCCGCAGGTGTACCTGATGAGAGTGTATGATTCGCATATCGTACGGTACATATACGGTACACACAGTCTAGAGATGAACAGCTGAACAACAGTCCTCCAAGGCTTCAGGTGCTGGCCATATCCACCCTGAGTTTGTTTGCGATATCTGTCGTGTTTTGCGCCTGAGCCGTGACCTCCACGACGTGACCTGGAGTCTGCAACGATGCCCGGTCCGTAGTCGCTCCTCCTGCTGCAGTTGTCTCCTGTTTCTTCTTCTGTAGCCCGTTATACAGACCTTTTCCAAGGAGTTTACGCTGCAGGCGTTGCAGTGTCTTAGCTGGCTTTACCTCGTCTGATTTTTTGCTTTCGTCGTCCTTGGTTTCGTCTCCCTTCGGCTCTGCTTCGGAATCGTCCAATCCAGCTAAGTTGAGTCCCTTTCGCTCCAGGTACTGAACCAGAGTCGCTCTGGATTTAGAGTCGAGCCTAGCGATGCGTTTCTCAGCTTGGACTCGTTTGAGTGTCTCCTCGGGCTTCTCGTTCTGTCTCTTGGCAATCTCACGTTGAATTATATCGGAAGTGGAAGAGGAGGAGGAAGTGGAGGTGGAGGTGGATGATGAGGATGAAGATGACGATGAGACTCGCATGGCGATATCCGTATCGTATCCGGATCCGATCAATTTACCGACGAGAACGATGAGTACTAAAGCCAAAACACAGCTGAGCAGTAATGTCGTGAGGAGTGACATGGTACTCGGATTGTACCAGTTGGCAAAGATGCCGTTGCGTAGATGGAAAAGATGATCTGCAATGAAGGGATGGGCTTATATAAAATGAGCTTATACTCTTCTTTGTCATTTGAGTATACTCACCTGGAAACCCAAGATGATTTGGAAGTCTGCCTGGGACAACCGGCCAACCAACCGGAGGCCTTCTCGCGTCTTGCACACCAGTCCACCCTCGAGCAACGCCAGGCATGGCCAGCTTGGAGTGACCAAGTCGTGCTTGTGTGAGGGGCTTCACAGGAGCCCCATAGTAGCCTCCGTTTACGACCCAGCGCCCCATCTCCGTTGCAACATCAGGATATACCCCAAGACAGAGCACAATGGCTCCAGCGACTGTCACAAAGACTGAAGTTCGCCATAGATCGTTGGTGGTGAACGGTAGGGCCGAAGTATCAGGTGGCCTGGCACCAACCGAAAAGAGCAGAAGAGGTATGGCCGGTAAGAGCAAGAGTAGGATAAACGGCCCTGGGATCAAAGTGGGCAGGGCTGCAGTTGTACTAGGTATCGCGTACATGATGATGCTATGTGCGAGACATGATTTATTAGGAAACTGATGTTGATGAAAATGGTGAAAGGAGGTATTATGAAAGGGAATGCATGATAGGCGTGTAGCCTTACGCGTTACTGAAAGCTTGCCACCTACCATATCAGCTCGACTCTGTGCGGTCACTTACGCCTCGTTCAGGGTACTGAAAGCACCGTTGGCCAACATTCGCTGCTCGACAGTTGTGGTATTAACGTTGATCTGGGTATCAGTTTGCGCCGAGTTTGTTGACCTACTTTGTCCGGGTGCAATCGAGCAATGACCTTCATATACTTGATCTTCACCTGTTTCTCGGTGATGAGTTCGTGCATGCCAACCTTTAAACCTCCGGAAAGAATCTCGTCCCAGAGCACTGTGTCAAGACTGGCGATCAATGCCCGGAGATTGGCTTCTTTGCCGCCCTTCCACGCGTTGAGCTTGCCATCGACAGAGTCCTTCACTGCAATACGTGCCTCTTCCTCTCTGTTGGCCGCTTCAGCGACCTTGCGGAGTTCTGATACTGCTGCAGAATTTTCAACATCAACCGGACGGCTTGGCCGCGCAGGCTGAGCAGGGTGGATTTGGCGGTCGAGTGGCTGTGGCTTGCTAGCTTGATCGAGCTGTCCTCGGACACGTCGAGCGCCCTCGGCAGCGAGTTTCCGCGTGGCAGACAGAGAAGACCCGAGCACCACAGCATCGAACGTCATGACTCTGTCCCAATCCTGTAAGGCAAGCTGGTACTTCTCGCTCATCTCGTATGCTTGAGCACGCCTAATGGTCGCTTTTACCAGAGCGTCTGACAGCTTTACTTCGGCGGCAAGGCTCGGCGGCAGAGGAGCCTCTTTGTTGGGATGGTAGGTCGGACCGACCAATTCGATGGCCGACGAACAATCCTCGATAGCCGATGTGGACTGCCCCAGTTTGATTCGTGTAGCGGCCCGATTGTTGAAAAGAGGGATGAGGAGCAGATGCCCTTCCGGTAAGGCCGAGACAGCTGTGGTGTATGCGGCCTCGGCTTCGGCAAAGCGACCCAGCTTGAAATGCTCGTTACCTTTCGCTTTGGCCGCCGTGTACGCTGCAACTTGGGGGGCACTGGCCTCCACCAGCGTCCGCACTGGAAGTGGGGCTACAGGGGTTATCGGCCGTTGAGCGGGTGCCACCTTGCTACGGTGTCGCACAGGCGATTTGTACGTTTCTGGCTCGGTTGCAAAGAGCAGATCGGCCCGCTCCTTGACTGAGCGATACTGATCCGCGTCCTCTGCCTTCTTTGAGGTTGCCCGTGTAGCACCGCTTGACCGAGCTTTTGGACGCGAGTCGCCGTTCCAGACCTCCTCCCGCTGGTGGACCGAGCTGCCTTCAGCGAAGTCCTGATTGTCCTCCGCGTCCACCATCCATCTCGGCCTTCCGTCCAGTCTTGGCTGTCTTGCTCCAGCCTCCATTGCTTTTCGCTGCTCTTCGTATGCCTTCATGGCCTTATCCTTACTCGAATTCCACAGACTGGTCGCTTTACTCAATGCAGATTGACCGAAAGCCGACGCTTGGGCATAAATCTTCTCAGCTTGTTCCGCAAGCTGATCTGTCGTCATGTCGTCCGTTTGCTGCTCCTTGGTTCTGGGTCTGACAGAGTCTCGAGAGGGCCCTGCCCTTCTCCTGCGCCTACGTTCCCTCTCCTCCGTCTCTCGTCGAGACTGCTCAGCCAGGACACGATCCTCGTCTTCTGCCTCAGGTTGCTCTGCCTGTCCTCCTAATAGGAGTTCGAGTGCTGCTTGTACGTCGAGGCCAGTCAGAGTTTTGCCCAACGCTTCTCGAGCCTGGCTGGGTGAGAATCCCATCTCAACGATCTGGCCTACGATATGAGGTGGAGGGGATGACTGCCGCTTCGGAGAATGCTGAGAGGACTTTCGCATTAGTCAATGCCAGGATTAGTGACTCACGTTGGGCCGATGTGTCTTTGTCACGCTTCTGTACTCCTCAAGAGGATGCAGGTCACCGTCTCCAAAGTCAAAGTCCGATAGAGGCGTCCGCATCCCCGAGCTAGTCCCACTAGCTGGTCCAGTGTGCTCCAACTGTAAGATATCTATATTGGGTGCCAGGTTGGTGGATGTCATCTTCTGAGGCTGAGGTGATGGGTCCTTTCTCGCAGGTATTGAATCATCTTCGTCCCAGAAGGCACCGAATGACTGTTTCTGTACGGTAGCTGGTTGAGGAGCGCGGATCGAAGGGGGCAGGGAAGATGGGAGAAGCGACGTCGAAGGTACAGGTTGGATGGCTGGGAAGCCGTCACTTGATTCTGCATTGTTGGGTTGTCCGCCAAGGGAGTCCCAGAATGAGCCGTTGGCCTGGAATATCTGACGTTCATGATCTTCCTTCTGTTTACGTTCTTCTGCAAGCTGTTTCTGCCTATCAGCAAGACTCTGGGTCTTAGTGGTGCCAGCACTCGATTTGATGGATAGGAGCTCGCTGAATGCATCGGACGGTGGTGATACAATGTTCGGGGTGGTAGATCGCGAGACAGATATCCGTCCAGGTTGTGGTAGACGACTAGTGGGCTGGATTGGAGCGGTGTTTGGCGTGGAAGGACGAAGAACGGGAGTGATGCTGTATGATGGTGAGCTGGATGACGCCGTGGGTTTCGATAGCAAGTCAAAGGCGTTCAGTGATTTGGTGGGTTGCGGAGGAGCAGGGGAAGAGGTTGTTTTGGAGCTGGATGACCAGTTGAGGTCCAGTAGATCATCCATCTTGATGAGCAGGGATGAGGTTGATCATGCGAATGTGAATGCAGTAACGAAAGTCAGTGAGTGTAGAGTACAGAGAAGAGGACGAATGGGGGCGAGTCGCGCCGCTAAAGAGCGCGCGGACCTGTGGCTTGTTTGCTTCTCGCCTATCCATTGTCCATCGCGGAATGTCTTTGCGTTCCCCTGCTCGTTAAGCTTGCTCGACTTCCTAGCTCAGTAGGAGTCCCCACGCTGGTCTAATAGATGGCGGATGGCATTGTTTGATGCTCAGAACCAACCAGGAGCACTGGGAAGATCATCGTTGTCGTCATTCTCGCTCTCGTGTGGCACCTCGGGGTACGATGCAGAGTCACGCATGTTGAGACAGCGAGAAAGCGGTACTTCATTCCCATCTGAACAGGATCAATATCATAGGAGTCTCGTCCAATTCTAATAGGTCATCCCACATGACACACTCAAGATCCCTAACAATTACACTCAAGGTTTTGTTCGTCTTCCTGTCTTCATATCACGATTGTTGTGTGACATCCCGCATCACTCAACCCCTAGTGGTCTTGGCGTCAACATGCGTTGTTTCACTTGATAGTCAAAGCGCTGCAATAGTAATGCTGATTGGTAGATACCATAAATCCATGGGAGATTGAGAGAGCTTTTTGCCACTCATGCTTTCGATTTGCCTGTATAGAACCATAGCAGCTCAACAAGTCCCTAAATCTATGTGAGCTTTCACCTCATAGCATGGCCAACAATGTATCGTTTGTTTCTTCCGATCGAGATTGACACGACGATCAGTAAGATGGAGAGAGGCTTTAGAAATAGGAATAATATTGTCGACTAGGAACCCTCTCAGAGGACGTCATTCGAG